TTTCTTCTTTTTTTTTTTTTTTTTTTTCCTTAGAAACATTGCATGCTAATATTCTGAATCTTTAATCGTGATAGATGTAAAAACTTTATTCTCTTGCATCATCGTCATTTCTATTTTAAAAATATCTAGATACTTGAAATGAATTTATAAATCGAATAATAATACTTTAAATAGTGATTTGTATATTTTATATAATATTTTAATTTATGTAAAATAATGTTATGAATAATATCGATATTTATATTAAGGAATTAATGAATATCATTTATGATATCTCAACTCATGTAAAAAAATTTCCTATAAATATATTATCTATAATCTATACTATCTATAAATATCACAATATTTTTTTACATAAAAAATTATACAAATTTAATGAGAAGAAAATAATTGAATAAAACTACAAATTTGCATAAAAAATATCTAATTATTCATGGATAGGTGAATGTCGAAAAACAGAAATTAACGAAAAACAGTTTAACGAAAAAACTTATACAAGGCCAAAAAAAATCCAGAGTCATTCTTTGAATGTTTACAGAATTTTTAAAAATTGGAGATATGAAACGATTCCTTGAATAAATTTACATCAATTTCAATTAAAATAATGAATTTATCACGATTTATATTTAATTATTTTTATATTAATATTTATTTAATATTCATTTATAATTATATTTATATTTAATATTTTTCCCTATAAAATGTCATTCTTCAAAATTTTTCATTTAATTCAAGATTAATACATTTATAATTACATCAATTCGACAATTAAAAATTAATATTGATTACATTCTACGTTCATTTTCAACTATTATTAATCAAATACCTAAATCATTCATGCCTAACGTTTACGTCAAACGAGTATCTGATTTATGAAACAAATTGTATTATACACAATTACAATATATCATATATCAATTATTACTTTTCTAAACATCTATTGTTCATTTATAAATTTATATATAACATTTAATACTAGAACTATCAAATTAATAATTAATAATTAATAAAATTGACTAATTTCAAAAATTTTTTTGTTTTATTAGAAATACATAAAGGATATTTAACACAATATTTAAATTTTTATAATATTGTTAATATTATTGTATATTTAACAAACTAAAAGTTTTAAAACTAAGCTATTCGAATCGCATTATGTATTAATAGACGTAATGTTATGAATACGTACCACTACACGAAACAAGAAAGTTACGCAGTAAGTTACATTATAACCTTGATAGTAACATGACATTCGAATAACTACCTGAAACTATTATTCATTATATATCTCTATAGTGCCTAAGTAGTTCGACATTGTACTCGAATTGTTTCAAATCATTTATCTTGTATCATTTCTTTGCGAATTAATTAGTGTAAATTTAAGCAGAATTTTCAATCGAATTTCGATAATCCAGCCATAAATCGAATGAATTAAAATAATTTTTATTTTTTGCAATAATTTTATAGACAAAAAAAGATTATTCAAATTTAAAATAAATTAAAATAATTAAAAAAATTATATGTTTTATGTTATTTTTTTATTTAATAAATGTTGTATGTTTGCTAAAAAAATTTTATTTCATTTGAATCAAGTTATTAAAATTGAAATGTTTTATAAAATTTTTATAGTTATTTTATAACATATTTAATCTATAATAATGAAAATGGAATATTGCTTTAAAAAACGCAAAAAAAATGAAATGGTTGAAATAAATAACAAAAAATTTGTTCAAACTAAATAAAATATAAATTGACAAGTACAATTAAACTACTGCATGAAAATAGCAACATGTAGCAGTTTCGTTAATATAAAATTATTATTTAATTTATCCCTTTATGATCTATGAAGTAAAAAGATACAAAACGAGTATTAAATAAATAAAAATTATAAATTTTTATTCGAAAAGATAGATATATTTTTATATATTTGAATCTAACTAAATCAATTGAATAATAGTGAAGAAAATTCTAAATTAAAAACATCTAAATTATTTAAACTATGACATTTTGTTTACCTTCATCGATATATGATGAATGTCTAAATACACGAAAATGTTTGAATGAAACTTTTCTCTGTCGATAAATGACATAACCTCGAAACAGACAATTATTCATTTTATATTATCACAAATCGCGATGAACATATTTAATTGAGTCGAATTAATATCTATTCAAGAAACACAAAAATATCTAAAAATCTTCAAACGTGAAATTTAAATACACAGATTGAATCTGGAAAAGACCTTGATAAATGTACACACGACGTAATTAAACTGTATCAGCTGAGCATACAACAATCATGTTATGAGATCTATTTTATAGAAATATGTTCATAAATGAATAATAATATGATCAAAAATAAATTTTGATTAATTAAACTTCCACTTTTTGATCGTTCAAAATTATTAAATTTTTTTTTTCATATTATTCATGTTTTCTACGCAATCTAGATTGTGACTATCGATTATTGATATAATATCGATATCTTACTAATAGTTTTTGATATCGATAATATTGTTAAGATATCTTTAACGAATAAAAATTATTTTTTTTTTTATTTAAAATTATTATTAAGGCATATAAAAAAGTTTTTTTTTGATTATGAATTTAATAATTAATTAAAAAAGAAAAAATAAAAATTTCATCCATTATTTATATCTCAATAATAATATCGATATATCGAATTATCGATAATATTAACATATTTATTATAACAAAGAATTTATATTGTTATCGATATCGATAGTCACAATTCTATATTAATTTACATAAATATTATATAATTTCTAATCGAATTTCTTTTCTTATTTAATAAAAATATAGAGAAAAAAATTCCAATAACCTAGATAAAAGATCCTTCTTGAACGAAAATGTTCTTCTTGAAAAAAATGTTCAAAAGAATGAATTCCTGAATATTGAAATACTCGAATGGATAGAAACCGTTATCGAGGCAATATATATCGAGAAACACAGGCTATCGATGTAAATTAATGGATTCGTAAGCGACGTTAGAACGTATGCACGTAAAAGGTATCGGCCAGCATTAAATTTAACCAAGCGCCAAACCGCTTTCGATAATTCTAACTATATGTGTAACGAACATACCGCAGAATTATATGGCCCTAATATCGATGTTTTTCATTTGTTCGTGTCAAGTGCCAAAATCTATTGGCAACGTTGAAAATATCGACGATTCGATAAGTATCTATAGCATATAATAAATTACATTCTAATATTTTTCTGGCGGCAAAGATTTCGAAATAAGTCTAGAACTTTAAATCATTTAATAAATTTTAATTACATATACAATACATATTATAAATCAGTAAAGATAGATAGCTTTTATCAATATTATTTCATTTTGCTATTTATCTTTTTAAATTTACATGTATTCAATACATGTAATAACTCAATTGAATCTAAATTTTGGAGCAATCTGAAGTGCAAAATTTTTACTTTACAAAGAACTACTAACTAATTTCATATTTATATCGCAACTTGAATATATTTCATATTATATATTTTCGTAATATATAAAATTTTCTCCGAAATAATGAACAAACGAAATGAATTTTATATGTACAGAAAAACAATATGGCTAAATCTAAACAGATGATGAGTAAAAAAATGACAACAATACAAAGATTCGTCATCATGAGATTGATTTAATATATCTACGATCAACACAATAAATATGTTTAACATTGAAGACGCATAGAAACAACACATTTTTACGTAGCATATACATTAAATAGTTAATGTTTACAGTTCAGTTATGTTCAAAAAATAAAATAGATGATAAATAGACTTACTCTGGAGATGCGAAGGGGTTGATGTAAATCATGTCCACCATGCATACGGAATCCCCAAGGGGAGCCGCCGATGAGGGTAACTTCTCTCGCACTCATCCCGCCTTTTTTACCACTCTCCAACAACCATTCACTCGCGTTTTAATCCATACGCGAGACACAACTATGCCGCTTTCCGATACAGACGCCACGCCGTCTCGTTTTATCAGACAAATTCTTTAGCCGACACCAACGAGATTCACGTTTTGCGATCCAAAATCGTTGATCGCGCGTAGATTCGTTCTGTGTATGCATCAACGATTGCATATCTCGAGAACCACCTCGCAATGTTTACTGGCGAAAATGATAATCATTATAAATGACTATTTAAATGATAGTTGTTAATTTGCGACATTATCGACCATGTACATTTTTTGATGAAAAGATTCTATTGGTGGATAATGAAGTACGATTAGCGAAACGAAGAGCAACGAATGTTAACAATATTTTTGGTCAACGAATTATGTGAGCGATCACTGGCAGATAATTAGAAATAACGAAGAATTTACACAAAGACACGATCCGTACTCGTCGGTGGTTCGCGAAATACTGACGGCGTATTCCCCCTCCCCATAATCGCCTGCGCGCCACCCTTGCTTGCTGTCAAACTCACGCTACCCGGCAAACACGCGTGCCCTCCCCACTCCATTATACTATGAACGTTTTTTTAACATACGATCTATCTTCATTTCGATTAAATGATTCAGGTTATGTATTGAAAATATAATTATTCGTTTGTTATTATTATCATTATTTTCAATTTGTTATATTATATAGTTAAATAATATTTGATTTGAATGAAATAACTTTATAAATATGTTAATTAATCTGAAAAATGAATAATATTTAAAGTTGTAAAAAAATGTATAAATATGTTTAATTAATATGCAATATTTATTATAAATTTAATGTTTGTTTGTTATCTTTGTAAAATAATTTTCACATGAAATCACTTTTACGATTTCGAAATTTGCTTTTACGATTTAATATCATTAATATTTATATTTATCATTAAATTGAATGAACTTTTATTTTTTATTTCAAAATTGCACACTAATATAATATCGATAATCGAATTTTTATTATGACACTTTTTATAAATTATTTATTAGAATTGTTTTTTAATTTTAATATAAATTTTATATTCTTCGTATTTGAAAAAAATTATTGTTATTATGTTATTAT